GTAAAACCGTATTGCCCTACAAGGCAACTGCGCTCCATAGATGCTGGGTTACTTGTTGTTCCTGTGGTTTTAAAAAGTAGGCTGGGGGCCAGAGCCTTCAGTTATCAAGCTCCTCTTTTGTGGAACCAGGTTCCACTTTCAGTCCGGGGGGCAGATTCGGTCAGCTCTTTTAAAGTAAAACTTAAAACGTTCTTCTTTGATTCTGCCTATAGTTAGGGCTGGCTCAGGTTAGTCCGGACCAGCCCTTAGTTAAGCTGCTATAGGCTTAGAATGCCGGGGGAATTCTTACGACACACCAAGCTCCTCTCTCACGCTCTCGTTCTACCATAATTCAAGTTTTATTAATGCACATGACTAATTCAGCTTCTTTCCGGGAGTTTTTTTTTGTGCTTTCTCCCCTATCAGGTCTCCGTAGATCGTGGTTCCTTCGGGACCCTGGTCCTGACACCTACCGTGGCCATGCTGACGCCTGCTGCTGCCATCATCATCATAATTATTTTAGATATTTATCATATTACTGTACTCATAAACGGACATTACCCTCTCATAAAATCTCTGTGCTCTCCCTCCCCACAGGCTTCTGTGGATGGTGGTTCTATCCGATGGTGGTTGCCCCTGCAGTGGTCCTGCTGTGCGCCTGGCTTACTACTCACAATTACTTGAATCATTTCTGTCATAGGAATTGCATGTATTATACATTGTTCATTCTGTACACATGGCATCCATTGTAGTCTGTCCATCCCGGGAGTGGGATCCCTCCTCTGACGTTCTCCCCAAGCTTTCTTCCCTTTTTTCCGTCTTGTAAGGGTTTTTTCATTTTTTGGGGAGTTTTTCCTGTGCCGATGGTGGGTTTCGGGGCAGAGGATGTTGTATGTGTACAGACTGTAAAGCCCTCTGAGGCAAATTTGTGATTTGCGATTATGGGCTATACAAAATAAAATGACTTGACATTAGTATGTATAAGACACAGGGAACCAGCGAGTACTGTACGAGTGTGTTGGTGCGGCGTGTGCGTTTGCCCTTTGTCCCGGCTGCTATGTGTTCTGGTATGTAGCTGAAGGTCGGGGCCGGGCGGAGAGCAGGATGACAGGGGCCCAGTGAAGGGGAGCTGTAGCTGGGAAGAACCACGGAAAGCCAAAGTCCAGCAGCTCTGAGGAGAGCCGGGACTGGGACGGGGCCACGGATATCTGAGCTGAACAGTGCAGATCCTTGTGCACAGGCTAAAGGATTACAGGCTATAGAATGCAAAAGGAAATAATCCGTTAGTACACTATATGTGTTGCTGGTTGTTTTTTTTATCCCTCTACAGAGAGACTGTGTTAGGCAAAACGTGTGTGTAATTTAAGAGCAGCAACTGATTCACACCTCGCGAAGCTGAGCTATGACATTCCAGAAACTTCTCGCCCGTCATTAACTCACCCGCATGAGTTCACAGGAATCATGCACGAGCTGTTCCTGAGAATGCCGCGAGTCGAGAAAGTTGCAGCACACACATGTGAGCAGTCCAGCAGTCTTCGTGGTGGCCGTGAGAGACACTGCAGGGTAAAAAAAAAAAGTCTTCAGCCTCCTTGGCTTAGAGAACGACGACACCGACCTCTGACCTTCTCCGCTTAGGCTTGTCGACCGCAGGCTGCGCTACACAAATCAGGTCTGTGTTTGATGGATGAATAGGATAAGATTTACAAAAGGAAGAGATAATTAAGTAGGTTTCACGTGGCCTAGATTGTGTCGAGCTAAATTCGGAAACACTAATGGTGTTAAAGGGTTAAAAACTTTCTTTTTTTTTAGGTTTGGTTGAGCGATTCATCTTTTCAAATTATAATTTTCTTGGTGACTCACTGCAGAACTTTGGAAGACATGTTTGGGAGTCTGCCTTTTGTTATGAAATCCTTCAGAGCGGAGACCTCTGAAAAGCCTCAAGGAAATTAGACTGTGTGCTACTGAACATTACAAGCGTTTGAAACTATTTGATGAAGAACCACATTATCTGGTGATGAATCTTATATATGCATTGAAGGAGTGGAACATACAACCATAACTCTGCAAATACATTGTTTTGGCGAGTGGATGATGGTTCAAATTCTACAGACGTCTGTAACATATGAATGAAAGTTGTTTGCACAGCTGCCATCTTGCTATTTTAAATATTTGGAGGAAATATGAGCGATGGACAGGAAACCTTTCACTTTCTAATCTGGTGGAGTTGTAGTGCAAAAAAGGAAATCTTCTGTTCTCATCCCTGAGAGGCCTCGCTGTATACTTAGTGACGGGAGAAGCGATGTGACAAAAAGTCTGATTTTTAAATTAGAAGAAAAAGAGCCACAAAATAACTAATAATAATATATAATCATGTTCCGGATCATTTGATATTACACATCTGTGTAAAAAAATGAATTGTTTATTACACAGCCAGCCCCTGTAAAATGACGTCTGTTATTTCATCAGTAGCCTTGCAAAACCAAAATGACGAAAGCGATAACTGTACGAGGCTATTCCGAACAAGCCAATCATCGTAAAGTTTAACATGAATATATGCAAGGAGATTCAAATATTTTCAAGGGACCCTTGTCATAACTAGCGTAAAGAGTTTTGAAATGCATCTGTAGGTTGGAAGCAGTTTTCCTTTCAAAAGTCAGGGCAGATGAAGCCTCACTCGCCAATGCATATAACAGAAAAAAATTCCACTGATGACGTTAGGAATTCTGTCATATGCATTGTTGATTGTACAGCCGCAAGGCAGCATGGCGTGCACGTTGCTGTGCTGAACACAGAGCACTCCTTTGCAGTCAGGGCGTGGCAGAGAGTGTGACTAAAGACATGCATCTTCAGCTCACAATGTAGGTGTGCAGAGATCAATCATACCAGTGTAAATAATAATACCTGTGTGTGGGGGGGGGGGGGGGGGGGTCGTGGTCTTGGTCCCTTACTTCATTGGATTAAAATTACAATTTAATTTCAGTGTAATGCAAAACATTTGGCCAGTGACAAAACCTGTAATGCTACTTCAAATTCAGATTAAGTCAAATTAAGCCTTTTAAAAGTTAGGCTGCCTCATGTTGTAGCAGGTCTACGAGGCGCTGATTATTCTATCAGTACTGCTTTTGCAAAATTCAAAATCAGCAAAATGCATAATGAAGACATCTGCTAAAACAATTTAGCAAAGTCGTTTTCCAACCTTGCACCGTGACCCCCACACTGCTCTGATTGCACGTTCCTCTTCCTTTTAGATCTGCTCGGTCAGCTCTACATGTCACTCTCACAGGGAGGGGGAGATGGATTCTCTCTGCCTCATTCCACCGAAGAAGCACAAACGCTTTTCACATTCAATAAACATGATGCTATGTGCGTATATGTTGTGCGTCATGGAAGGAGCCCTCCCTTGTGGGGTATGTATATGAATGAATGGCTTCTACACAGGGAAAAGGCTCCTCCCCAGGAAATCCACCACTGTACTTTCCAGAAATAGAGTATGACTTGCTTAAAGTGGAACGAACGCATCAGAGACGGATATCCAGCAGAGCTCAACGTGATGGAGACCGAGGGTGCACCTCTCGCTGCGAGGGCCGCTTGTAGCCGAAGCTGCTCTCTGATCGGCAAACTGGCACATTGAATTCCCAATGCTGCAATGTACATGCGCGTATACACACACACACACACACACAAGCAAATGCAGCCAGACACGCAAAGCCAGAGCAGCAAAGTGAGATGTAGGCGGCGTGACGCAGGCATCGTGAGTCACTCTGACATAGAACACACCATCGTGGTGGCATTACCTCTCCAACAGGTTTAAAGGATTGCTGCTCTGCCCCCACTCACTCCTATACAGACTGACGATACACAGACACACACACACACACACACACAATGACATCACCAAACCAAATCCTTATTACGTACAAACCTCTCATGACATTTTCTTTCATAATACAGACTGGGGTCCAAAAACAATTGTCGCACTTTTTTTTTCACTTCTAAACTCAGATATAATTATGTAAAAGGCTGTAGCTATGGCAACACAAACCTGTCATCTAAGCACCCCACCATAGGCCCAGCGTTTCCACAGTGAATGGGGGACATTTTGTCTATTTCTTTATGTTTATTGAGTATACAGGATCATTATTTTTCTAATAATGTGCCTCATGAAGCCAACAACCACTGACACCTCTGAGGGAATCACGATTTCTTGTGACCATTACAGAAGTCATGTGACATTTTGTTTGTGTGGCCCAGGATTTTATATAAATACGTCTAAGGGGCTACGCACTTCCAAATTAGGCCCAAAATCTTCTGGAAGGAGATGAACTGCTGCTGCACTACCGACCTCCTCCACAAGAGGGAGCATAATAATCTCCTATTGGCTCAGAGACTCACTACATACCAGACTGTTGCCCAATCCTGTTTGTTACATGAGCGGACAGAAAGGCAATCTTGATTGTATGTTTCAGCCCTTTCCGAGGATAAAGAGGCCTTATTTAAATACAGATAAGACTGCAAACTTGCCTGATGAGATACTTACTTTTGAATGTTTCACCACAGAGGGAAGAGAGAGCTGGAGTTATACAATTGTGAGCGCTGCCAAGGCGCAGTTATGGGTTTTCTGTTTGCGCAATTAGTATGGAATAAGGTATTAACACTGGGTAATGTTTTAGGAAAATTGCCCCCTCAAACTGCTTGCAGACTTTGTGAGCAAACACAACGGGAGCCTTGGATTACTCACACACATACACGCACACAGTGCCCAGATGCGAGACAGATGTTTGGTAGACAAGGTCAAGGAGTCCACTCAGTAATTGTCTGCTCCACCGTTTCTCGGTATCCTCGGCATTGTTCGGATCACCACATCCACATAAATCCAGGAAATTTCCTCTGGAATTGAAACCATGTCCTCCTCTCACAGACTTATTTGGGTTTCTTTTCTTTCTCTCAAACACTTATTCTAGTCTAGTAAAAGGTACTTTCTATAGTATTGGGACTCACACACACATACATACATTTAGGCGCACACCTAAAGAAAAAAGAAAAACGTTATACACTTCCTGACTCTCTGGACAGATGTTCAGAGAAACTGCTGATGAGCATTACCCGAACCAACAGAGAGATTATGAAACGTGAGGACAAGTCTTCAATCTCATTATCCCTACCTAAACTAATCTACCAGGAACAACCCCTCCAAGTAATCCATACGCGCGTGCCGGTGTAACACACACAGATACGTGTGCATGCGTTGTAGTAAAAGGTGATCCATACTAGTGATAAATATGCAGGATACAATGTTACTGGGCTTGGAGGGAATCAAAAAAAACATCCTGCATGGAGGCACTGGGGACATCCCAAAATTCATCACTGGGGCAAAGGTATTTATTTACATTTCATGGTAAATTAGCGTAGCTCTCAGTAATAGAACAAGTGGTGAGAACACAGCTATTCCACTACGCAGCGATTTAATGTGCAGTAAATTAATTTAAATGAACCAAATTTCAGAAAAGTAGCAATTCATTGTCTTATCTTTTGGACAAATGACTGAACCATTGTAAATGAGTCGCACAGGCTAGTTTAATATATATAGAGAAATGGTTTTAAAACAGAGAAGTTGTGTTTTTATCTAGGAATACATTCTTCTGTGTTTGTTAATAAGAACTGGATTCTAATTAGTTTATAACGTAAAGAACGCTCTTATGTACGTGTGCAATTCTTTTTTCAAGAGGTAACTCCTCCACTCCCTGTGAGAGGATGACATTTTAGACATATGGCACCGTATTTGAATTGGAAAAGAAACCGCTCCTTCATATTTCCTCGAAGGAAAATGTGTGAGGCTTGTGACAAAAAAGGTCTGCTACATTCACGGTATTAGTGATCAGCGGAGCCTTCGTCCATTTTATCGCTTCGTGCTTCTCCCGGTGGTCCCTTTCCCTCCAGGTGACGTTCCACTTCCGCACACAGCTGTGTGACGCCGAGCGCACGGTGATCGATGACAGCAAAGTGGTGGGGACGCCCATGGAGATAGTGATCGGCAACATGTTCAAACTGGACATCTGGGAGACGCTGTTGTCTTCCATGAGGATTGGGGAGGTGGCGGAATTCTGGTGCGACACCATTGTGAGTGCTGAAAGACTCAGAGTTGGACGGCAGCCGTGTTTGGTTTCAATTCAATTCCGTTTTCCTTCGGGGCTCTTTTGTGAAGCGCAGTGCGTCGTTGTCAGCAGGAGGAGTTAGAATGTAGACTTTGTAAAGGGAGTAAATGTAAAAGGAAGTGGGCTCTTTTTAATACTGGGTCAAAAGGCTACCTGACGCAGAAACACGCACAAAGCTAAACTAATACTGATAAATAAATAAATATAATTCACATTTATCTATTAAGAAAACTGCCTGAGGACCATTTAAGTGAGTTCTCACTTATCTGTACGGCCTGAGAGACCTCTTCCTCTTATGAAAACCCGTCTCATAGGCTTTGCAGATATATAATATATAAATATATAAGCCCCTCCACAAGAGACAGGCATCAGGAAGCATGTATACTCTCTCTGAATTTGTCGCTGAAGGTCTCTCTCATTGAATCCATCATTTGTTGTTTCTGTGGGCGTGCTCGTGTGCGTCGGAGACAAATGGGTTAAGGCGTAGTGTCGTTAATCTGCAGCAGCCTCGCTTTTCCCTAATAGGCTCCGATTCCGGCTGAATCAGCACTAGTGACTCGCCTCCTCTCTGATTAGATTTGATGGGGCTTAGAGCATGTATTCACTCCTCTCTGAACAACATGGCAGCATCTCACACACACACACACACCCACCCACACCAATGGGGATGTTATGCAATGTCACTACCTAACAGTGGGGGCAAACTTGCCACAATAGGCTGAGGAAATTGACTGGATATAATGTGACACAACTCATTTTAATTACAATCCATTTCTAATCAGCTGAATGCAAAATGTGTATCCGAACACCTGCACGGGGGGAGGTGCGGTAGGAGAAGTATCGTTGCACTAAGTTACTGTTGACAAAGGAAGTGTATTAGACGCAATCTGAAAGCGGCTCACATAGCCGAAGTCCCCTTTAGCGTAATGCCATTATATATTCTCCTCCTCGCTCCTCTCTAGCACACCGGAATCTATCCACTTGTGGCCAAGAGCATGAGGCGCATTGCAGAGGGCAAAGACCCAGTGGACTGGCACATCCACACGTGTGGTATGGCCAACATGTTCGCCTACAACAGCCTCGGCTACGACGACCTGGACGAGCTGAGAAGAGAACCAAAACCTCTCTATTTGTCCCTGGAGCTAATGAGGGTGAGAGAAAACGGGGGGGGGGGGGGGGGGGGATTTGTGTGGATGCGCATCAAAAGGGAAGCTGCACAAAAAGGACACGACTATGTGTGAGTGTGTGTGTGTTTGGCAGGTGCAGCAGCCTAGTGAGTACGACAGGGAGACGTGGGCTCTGAGCGACGAGGAGAGGCTGAAGGTGGTCCCCGTGCTGCACGGCCACGGCAACAAGCTCTACAAACAGGGGCAGTACCAGGAGGCCACACAGAAGTACAAGGAGGCCATCATCTGCATCAAGAATGTTCAGACGAAGGTTAATCCAATAATTGGTCCCCCGCCGACAGAGAGAAGCAGTGTGTACAGATTTAAATGACATCCTCCCCCCCCTTTCAGGAGAAAGCGTGGGAGGTCCCGTGGCTGAAGCTGGAGAAGATGGCCAACGCCTTGACGCTCAACTACTGCCAGTGTCTACTGCGCATGGAGGAATACTACGAGGCCATCGAGCACACCAGCGACATCATCAACCAGCACCCAGGTGGGACGTGTGGGACTCAAGCAACAGACTCCAGGGGACAGGATCTAAAAAGGCACTGCTGGAGGGTTTTAAACTAGCAGTATATTTTACCGCCAGCAGGGGGCGACTCCTCCGGGGCCAAAGAGAAGGTGGATTTTATAGAAGGCTATGAAACAATGGTTTCATTGTAAACAGGAGTTAATGGTTTCAATGTCTAGTTTCAGGTCTTCTTCAATATCTTATAATAAGCTGGGTAGGATTTAGGGCGTGACTACTTTTGATTGACGGAGGGGTTGGGCTCTACCGCCTGAAGCACCTCACAATGACCCTCTTCTGTAAAAACAATGGGCAACTACTTACATTTAACATTTACAGATAGAGGGGCTTCTTAAAGTCAAAAAAAGGCTGTTTAAAGAAGTTGTAAAAGACTTAAAACTATTACATCTTTTTAAATACAACACATCAGAGAGGAACGTCCAGCATACCTTCCTGCCTCGGTAACATGAGCTTGTGTTTGGCCTCCAGGTGATTTTAAGGCCTACTACCTGCGAGGGAAGGCCCACGCGGAAGTGTGGAACGAGGCGGAGGCTCGGCAGGACTTCAGCAGGGTCCTGGACCTGGACCCCGGCATGAAGAAGGCCGTCAAGAGGGAGCTGGCCGTGCTGAACATGCGCATGGAGGAGAAGAACCAGGAGGACAGGAACAAGTATAGAGGCATGTTTTGATACGAGGCTGCAGAAGAGGTTTGAGAATCGGAGAGGCGATGAGCTGAGGAGGAGTTAAGATGCTGCATCTCAAATCTACACACTTAGTTTTTGCCTTTAAAACATGGATAGTGTCCAATAAATACAGTATAGGGGTATAAAAGGTATATTTAAGACATAAGCCCCTTTTTTTCCAGTTCCTCCAAACATGAGTGAGACAAACAATTCAATTATGGACTTTACACTCTGATGGTAAAGTGAACACAGCTTTTGCAAAGAAATGTGCAAAAATACAATCTAGGGGAAGTGTACAACTTCACAGTATTAAAAATAGAAATATGCAACGTAAAGCAACAACAGCCCAAGAGGAACTGTCAACGTAACGCAGACGAATGTAGACACATAAATGTAATGCGTGTGCGGCTTTGTTTTTTCGGACGCTTCTGTGCTTTTCTGCAGGAAGGTAGGCAAGTAGATGAATTGCCTTCCACTCACATGTATGAAATATATATGGAGCTGGAGTTACTGAGCATAAATACTTTGAACAAGAGGGAACTGCTAACATTGTTATAACACCATTATAACAAGCAAGCTTCGGCTGTACTGATGAATTTTGTGTCACACAACCACTCGGACACCAGTGGTCTAATCCAACCCTCTCAAGAAAGCACAAAAGCTTATTAAATGTTGAACAATTCATTTGCTGTTTGTAATATTGTTTTGTAATATTTCCTTTTTCAAATCACGTATAAAAAAAGGTCCCCGATTAATGGACACTAGTTAAATGACTGCCTGTGTGTCTTCATACCAGATGTTTCTGCAACCCAACAACCCCATTAATGCAGTCTTTGCAGTCCCACTGTGCCTTCACCTTCCCAAAAACAATAGATATTATTTCAAAATTAAGTGCTATAAAATCAAATGAAAGCCAAGTAAATTCTGGGTCTGTGTTGTAAGCACAGCGGCCTTCCACAGGGTGGAGCTCTGACCATTATTCCTGTTTATCCCTGAACCACGTTGACGACATTATCCTGAGCCCAGCGGTTTCATTTTCATGAGGAGTCAAGGGGCTCGTAAAAATAAATGACCTGGCTTAAATCTACTGCTTCTCTTCTCCCCATCTTTTCCTTTGGACATCTTAAAAAGAGAGACAGCAGCACCGACAGAGTTTCATTCAAAAAAAGGGACACGTATTACCAACACATCTGGGATATGCACCGAAAAGCACATCAGGAATCAGGACACATTTATTGCTATAATATGTCAGACATACATGGAATTTGACTGGGCGGTTGGTGCATAACAGCAGACAGTACGACAATGGACGACAAGACAACAGTGTAAGAGGAATAAAATAAAATATGATGCTGTGGGTTGGTAAGGGTTAGTAATATAAGGCTACGGGTTAGGTTAGGTTAGTGCATCTGAATGCACTCGTGTTTGTGAATCGAGATGAAGTGTCAGGTCGATCGTGTGACATCACACCGAGATCTCACTCATTGCTGTGTGACTCCATCACCCCACATTCACCACCACAGGTCACAGTGGAGTGTAGCAGCCGCTCAGACAAATGGGGCTGACGCAAATGCAGCAGTCTAACGAAGAGGAAAATCAATAGCTGCAGATCGAGGAAGACCGGATTAAACATCCAGCTCTTTACCACCGTCGTCACTAATGCAGCACCTGCTGAGTCTCGCCTGATGTCAGGCAACTCAACGAGGAGACCAGAACTGTGCTTTGACATGGCACTCGTTAGAGAACTAATGCAAGGTATTAACGTTAGCTTTACACCTGAGTACCATCACTACTAATTCGAAGGGGAAAAAAAGAAAAAGGATTCAATAAAAAATTGATTTAAGATGCATGGATTTGCCATTGGAAACTCCGGACTGAAACACTGAGCTACAGTAGGTTCTGCACAGCAGCACAATCTGCTGCTGCTCCATAAACCACTGGTGCTGATGTTAAAAAGAGGGGAAGAAAGGGAGGAGGAGGGAGGCTGCTCCTCAACAGACTGCCCTGCTCCAGCATAATATGCATCGAGACGGCAGAACAAAGGTTTCCCACAGGAAGTACAGTGAGTGTATGATCAAAGTAAGATACATTTTTTTCAAAGAAATGGGCATGAAAAACATTTTTGTTTTGGTCTTTCTTTGGTCTTACGTATTGCAATCATCTGACTAATGCTTTTGTTTGGAGACCAGTCTCCCATTCACACAGTTTATACACGAAGGTTATTTGACACGATGGCAAATGGAGCTGTACATTGAATCAGCACTCAAGGAGCCAAATCCACACAGGCCATAAAGGCTACAGTTATGGTGCCTGTGCTGTCACATTTGCCTTAAAGGTGCTGTGAGTGAACCGGTGCCCAGGTTGAGAGAGCTCCTGTGTGTCCTGTGTGGACTGAAAGATCTTCAATCCATCAATTTATCCGTTAACTACTATATGTTGGATTTATGTTAATGTGTGTTTAAAGACAAAAAATACAATTCTGAAGACAAAAAAAAAAATTAGTTGAATTTTTTTTTTTTTAATTCTAAAAGAAGTCTTATTAACCAAACATTTCGCTGCCCCCCTGCAGTACATCCGCGGACCCCCTGTTGAAGACCTCTGATATATTGTATTGCATCAATGTTACGACACAGAATATTACATCATGTGCCTCGAAAAGTTTGTTCCCCAAATAAAATGGAGGTATGTTATGTAATATGTAACATACATTTTGTTGTGAAGCTGGGAGGGTATATTTCAAAAAATATGTGATGTTGAGGTGCAGAAGTGACTGACAGTAAATACAGATCTACAGCAGATGCAACACAACTTACGCCACATAAAGAGAATGTACCTGCAACTTCCCAAAGAAACAACAGCATAATAAACCATCAAAACAACGGAGAGATGCATAGACAATATATGAATTATGCAACACCAGCAGCCACAAACACATACCGTTAAATGTAGATCCCGAAGGAAAACATGTCTCGCTGAACTCAGCTGTCTGAACACGATGGCGGGCAAAGCAGACTCGTGAACTCCTCAATCCGCACCAGGCACCAAACTCCTTTCCTCTCAAAAGGGCCGAAGAGTGTGGTGACGTCACCGCGCCGGAAGATCGTATCACCTGTGTGAGTTTTACAACCTGGCCAAAACAACATGTGCCGCGTGGATTCATTACTTCCGCTATGCCCAAAGAGTTCCAGGGGGGGCTTTTATTTTGTAATTCTTTACCGGAAGGTTACCGTCTCGATGCGGCTGACTTGACACTGGTCCCAGGTCGGGTAGAAGCGCTGCGCTGCTGCGTCGTGGAGACCCAGTGGAGCTGATTTGAGGTGGTCGGTCCTCGCTTTGATAGAGAGAGAGAGAGAGAGAGAGAGAGAGAGAGAGAGAGAGAGAGAGAGAGAGAGAGAGAGAGAGAGAGAGAGAGAGACGCGTCACTTCCATCTTTCTGTATAAAGAAAAGGAAGGAGAAGTGCTTGAGTTACTTTTTGTTTTTAAACGAACAGACAGACTTTAAGGAAAGTGGTGTGAGTGGATCTCAGCGGGCGACGGGAGCTCCTGCTTGGATGTATCAGGGAGGTTTCGGGAATGAGCCACACGTTGGATGTGAAGGACGGTGACGGAAACTGAGCCAAGAGGAAGATGATGTCTGCAGGAATCCGACTATCTCTGCTCTGATTTCATACTTTTCTTTTCTTTCTTTCTTAATCGTCGTTCTTAATGGGTTGTCGGTTCCCCCTGGCTTTTAATTAATTTAAACTCTTTCTATTTTTTTTTTTAATTTCTTCTTCACATCTATTTTCCTGATCTAATTTGATACAATTGAGCCCTGAACATGGCCATCAACACGGACACCGACTTCCTGAAGTCCAACTTGAGCGAGGGCGGAGAACGCAGCGCGCGGCCCGCGGACCCCCACGAGACGGAGAAGCTGCTGACGCTGACCACCGAGCCCGGAGGCAACGGGATGAAGATGTCCACCTCCTTCACCGTCAACATGGACAGCGACAAGGGCCAGGAGGCCGACCTGAACGGCCACGGCGGGGCCCTGAGGTCGGGCTCCGCCGGGCAGCTGGGCGTCGCCGCGCCCCTCTCCCCGTCCAGGGCGAGCCTGAGCCGCTCCTCCACCGGGAACGCCACCGTGCAGGAGACCCCGAAGCCCAAGGATTACCTCATCCTCGTCATCCTGTCCTGCTTCTGCCCCGTCTGGCCCGTGAGCATTGTGGCGCTGGTGTACTCCATCATGGTGAGCATATTGTTTCTTTTTTTTTTTTTTAATAAACTAAACCTGTTTTTGCAGATGTCCAAAACAAGAAAAAAGCTGGAGTGGACCGAGAGATGAATATGTGTTTGGGTCCAAATGATGGAAAGAACGGGCTGATTAACTGCACCGCATCTGGGTTGAATAAGGAATCCAAAATTGTCTGCATTTCAAACTTTATAAACTTTTATTATTTATACCGGTTTGAAACTTGTTTCCAATCTCTTTTACGTTCGTATTATTGTTTTGAGTTGACATGCTGTTAAAGTGACAGTGATATTTAGGAGAACGTTGATATTGGTCCGTATCAGAGAATGGTCATCAAACCTGAGCGAGGAATATTCATAGATAATTATCAAATAATTAAGAAATTAAAAATGCACTCAATGGGATTGATCAATTACTTTAAAAATTAAAAAATATTGTTTTCGGATAAATATAAAACAATAATGATACAGATGAACCAGGATGACGTCATTGGTTGGATTAATTTATTTTCTAACTAAAAAAATGACAAAAACATACATACTGTGTTGCACATAACACAGCAGAAAACAGTTTTTTCTTCTACTGTACATATCTGAATATTGTAGAATTCCTTCTTCTACAATAAGAGGGAATTGTGGTTTTAGAGTGCAGTGCAGGTTGATCTGGTTTCCATAATAAACTGCATACGCGGGTTCCCTGGAATACACACACACACACCTACACAGACACACACACAGACACACCTACATGTAGTACATGCAGAGCTCAGTGCATCCTCAGCTTTCAGTGCCAAGGCTTCCGCTAGGAGTTGTTCTGCTCACAGACGCTGATCCTCTCACTGAGAGTTTCAAGATGCAGGAAATGCTGATACAAGATGCAGCGAAGACGCCGACGCCTCGCCGGGCAGCCGCAGAGGCTTGACATGCTGCCACCGTTCAGCGCTCTCCGATCAATACGTTCTGGGGACAAAATGCTCAGTTGGTCGTCAACAAACACCGTTTGTCCAACCCAACTGTGGACTGCGTGGCCTCGTTGCAATCACATCACAGCGCATCTCACCGAGTCTACATCATTTATGTCGAGGGTGCTCAGATGTCGCCGTCTGCAGTGGTGTGAGGTCTGCAGTAAAAAAAAAGGGTGGACTTGTTATCGAAAGGCTGCGATGGCTCGTGGCTCGTTTCAAGCAGACAGAGTAACGTTTGCTGAATGTCCCACATATGGATACTGCTGTTTTTTTTAGGCGTAGTAATGCAACTATTGTGTGAAGGTCAAATGGAAAAGAAAAAGAAAAAGCACAGGTATCTGGTGCGGCATTGATAAAGTAGATCGTGCTTCATTGGTAGTGACACATACGCTGTTTAGAAAAACGACTTATGCCGTGCTGTTGCGGCTACAGTAAAAAAGTCCCTTTGATAAAAAGATCAAGTTAATGGCATGTCAGCCCACACATGAGTCCAAATGACTTGTGCCAGTGGATACAAGGCAACATGGCTGTGGAATTCTCCATACAACCAGTGTGATTACATTGTCCCAAACAATTAGCGGTGCACTTTTTCTATCTCGTTAAATCGCCCCTCCCATCATTATTGTTCTTGACACTCTTCTAAGTAGACTCGGGTGTTTGAAGTTGGTCTTGTAAATTCACAAAGTCAATATGTGAAATGAGGTCTGATGGAATAACAACTGCAAATATATATATTTTTATATTTAGTAATTAGAAAAACAAGCGGTTTTATTGCACCACACCATACTTTAGTGTATGGGTTGCTGCAAACACATACACGCAATCTGAAAAGAATTCCCGTAGGATTGGCAGAGATCCTGCACCTTTCATTTTAATTTGCCCCAATCTTCCATAAGCAGGTTCTCAGTTGACTCCAGTCAGCTGCCTCCTCATCTGCTGAGGTATTGAAACGGTGCGTCAGGCTCCGATCCACTGCTGAATCACTCAAAACCCCTTCGTCTTGACTTACTGATGAGACCCTACGACTTCAAGTGTGTTTATGACTACAAACTACTTCAATGGGATTGTGCTCCTATTGAAACAGAATCTGTCTGTTTTGCTCAATTTATGGTAAAATGAAGCACAGAGTACAATATTCTTAAAGATGGGGATTATTCCCAAATGGGAACCTCTTGGACGACATTTTCTCGCGTATTGAAGGCATGAACAAGACGTGGCCTCCGAGATTCAAAGTGGATCATCACTATCCAGAACATTCAAAACACAAACAGGGAACAAGTGTTTAGTTATGCGCGGCCTCTGCTTGTACCACATCATCAATGTGAGCACTCTGCAGTGGTGGAAAGTAGAATTCCCTCATTGAGTACATATTTATGGTACTTGTACTTTATTTGAGTATCGTAATCGCATGAAACCTTTTGCTTTTAATCAATTCAATTTCAGACGAAACTGTAACCTACAGTAGTTTTGACTTCATTACAATTATTTCACGGCTTCAGTTACTTTGGAATCTGAGTAATAGTGTTTTATTTTTGAAAATTGTTCCAACCAAACAAATCATTTAATATAATAAAATATAAACAATTATCCAAAATAATTAAAAATGAGCTCCATTGTAACTGGCTACATTAATATTCTTGCATATCGTATGATTGATACTAAATTTTAATAATATAATATATTTTGTATTAAATGTTCCCCTTAACTTGAACTAATGATATTCTAATGATATAATATCTCATCAGAGTATTATTCGGTAAAGGGAACTTAAATATAAATATAAAAAATATATTTTTTCCCGGTTATTCTTGCATACTTTTATTTTATAGTGCACCTAATTAACAACTACCAAGGGTGAACATGCGACATGTGTTTTTACAGTGCGTTGTTAGTACTTTTACTTCAGTAGAGGATCTGAATACTTCCACCACTGAATCTGTGCGTTTGAGGCAGAAAACAACAGCCGGGATGTCCGTCCACTGGAACTGCGCAGTGCAGATAAATAAGCCTGTTGACGCTCTTCTGCATGAAGTATCTGGCAGATTTTTTTTTCCAGGAGTCTTTTAGTGGCATCAGTAGAAACCGTCAGGCTTTTAACTCCCGTTGGCCCGCCAGGCAGCTGAGTTGCAATTGAAACATCCGTTTGGGTTCTTTTCCTCTGACACTGTGCAGCAGAAACAAGGCAAAGGCAATGCAGTCAACCTATTAGCTCTGTAATATCACTCCTGTGGGCACCACCCACCAGAGGGAATATCAGACAGTATCCACAAGACGCTGTGCACTTGGGCCATCATCATCAACACACTGACATTCACAAGTCAGGCACGGAGATGTGTGTGTGGGGGGGAGAGAGAGAGAGAGAGAGACATTGACAGAGGGCAAAAGAAAGAAAAGGGAAGGAGGGAGAAACTGGAGCCGGCCTCCAATTCAATACAAGGCGAGAGAAGTTTATTTGGTTCATCTGCAGAGGGCAGATTGCAGCAGTTCTGTGGCAGCCACCAGCCTCTCTCTCTCTCTCTCTCTCTCTCTCTCTCTCTCTCTCTCCTGAGGTTACGGGAAGGTGACACGGAGTTCGCAAAGAAGAAGACAACATTCTTCGCTACAAGGGGAGAGCGGCGGCACACAGACAGAAAATGGCCATAAAGTAGTTGCTATCACTGGATTAGAAAGGAATTGAGTCAGATACCACAGTGATGTCAGATAAGTGCGAGTGAGTGGGAGCAGGAGAGCAGAGACTGACAACGCTTGCTGGGAACAAATGAATCAAAAGTAATGCGGTTGATGCCGCAGGATAACAGCCCTCGAGAGCCAGATCCCGGCTAAGTGCCGATAGCGTCCCCGCCCAAGTGAAACGGATACTTCCCAAAGTTTAGCGGTAAATAAAGGCGCTGCCGTTAAATGATTATTATCGCAGCAAAGTCTGAAGAAATCAGATTCATCAAGCGGACGCAAACGATGCAACCTTTTGAGTGCAGGAATGTAAACACGCAAACGCGGTTGGCCGCTTTATGCCGTGATGTCAGTGTTTTGTTTCCGCCTGTCCGCTGGCCCCAAGTGGCCCAAAATGCCACCTGACCGTTTTCATGGTGGTGTAGATATGGAAATTGACACATGTCCACATTACAAAGACTGCATTTCAGAATTCCACTGCTGGTTGTAACTGTAAACCTTGACGAAGCATCGCCGTAGGCACAAAGAGGTGCAGATACAAAACATAAAGTAAATGACCAAAATGAACCGTAATTAAAATGTAATCCGTTGGGGCCTCACTTATCCTTGTCGAAGGAGTCAGCATCTTTTTGTGCCGGCAGATGGTGCATTTCTAACGACAACACTACACCCATCGCACGCCGCCACTTCCAGCAGCGGGACAACCCACTGATCTCTGACAGATGCTCCGGTGGAGAAGGCTTGTGGCTGGCAAACACGGAAGATGTGCAGTCAATTATGGGGATTGGAGAAGCAGGGGTAATAGGTTTTTACTGCTTAGACGGGCCTATCCCAGTAATGGGAAGGCCCAAACTGCAGGAGCGTTATTGCACGCTCGGCAGATTTGCTGGTGAAATATGGACTCGCAATGCTGCACTGGATGGATGACTATGAATGTGTGTGTGTGTGTGTGTGTGTGTGTGTGTGTGTGTGTGTGTGTGTGTGTGTGTGTGTGCATTGGTAAATTACTTCTTATGTGCAATCTATTACAGCAGATATATTGGGGGAGCACCATACTATTGTTGCTAATTATATGAAGCCTATCACAGTCCTGCAGAGCGAAAACCATACGCTGCTCATATTATAATATTAAATAGATTTATTATTTCCGATGTTAATCATAATGGTAATAATAATGTCTGGCTGTAACAGTATCCCAATATTTTTGCTAAATTTTGTTAGAAAAATCAAGGAAACAATTAAAACAATTAAGTAGCAATTAAGTCAAATTAATCTTTAACATAGTTTATTCTGTCTTTTTACACTTACAATACGAGTTCATGAAGGTGGAGAGAGACTCTGTTACCATAACTGTACAAGCCTGTGCTGCTGGATTTTGTAAAAAAGATACCATCATATTAGTGCCTTATTTAATACCCCAACACGATAGCAGCAACCAGAGGTGGGCTTTTGAAAACAACTTCAGTTTATGATTAAATACTTGCTGGTGTGTCCTCGAGTCACAGAACCGAGACACAGGACCCCAAATAGTCTCCTGGGCTCTTCATAGCAGCCCACTGCTACTGATATGCCGAGAATGGGATTATATGAACCGTGGCATCTGCTTTTCATCGCATCAAAGTATAGAGTAACTAATCATCAATGTGTACCTGGACTATTGTTGTGTGATAACCATTTAAAATCATGAATCAGGAGAAAACAATCTCCTCATTGGTGGTGAGTGCTTCCTCTTCCTGCCTCAACCTGATACCGATTTAGTTACAGATGTGTTTGCCCTTTTATGGACACTGTGCCCGCACTTTGTGGATATACTGAATAGTCCTAATCTAATTTTATTTTCACAACATAACAAATGGCCATGGCAGCGCGCTCTGCTCATCTTGATATCAGTGTGGACATCAGTGTGACAGTTTGCTTATTACTGAAGGGCTGAATGGAACAAGGCACATACCACTATGGCCTTCAATACCATCACTTTTTTTTATTAGGAAAAATGAAATTCATGAGCTGAAGGAGTCGCACGAAGGCATTTTACAGCTGACAGAGAATGAGTGCAGAGCCATTGTGGGTCAGACAGACTGGATCATCCGACCGCATTGAGTGGTTTGCAATCTTAATGGACATTTGAGTGAAACAAGACTAAAATCCCTGCTTAGAAGCCACAATTCTCTTTACATCCCACCAGAACAAAGTGGTTTAAAGAGACAGCCTTCTTCTCATCATGAATATGACAACAATTACTTCAATACTTCAAACATTACCCTTTTCTATGAAAATAAAAAGTTACAGCCACAGAGAAGAAATATACAAAGATAAATAGCTAAACAATATTGGAAGTTAGGGGGGATAAATGCAAATAAACCCGTTTTATTTGCTCATGATTGCCAGCCTGACAGGCGCAGCAGCTCTGGGTTGCACGTGTTCCCTCTCCAGCGGGGTGACGCTGCCTTTCTATTATTGATGGCACAAGAAAAGGGGAGCACTTACTGACTTAGTGGCCTGCACCTTCCTAGACTGAACACTACAGAGAATTGTGTGTGTGTGTCTGTGTGTGTGTGTGTGTGCACTGACAGCACCATGAACATTGGACAAGACACTTTTAAGGTAGAAATTCCCATTCAGAAAACCAAGATGATCAGGCTGACTCTCACTGTAAATCAATATAGACGTCATCATCTGAGTGAAAGATTTCTCCCACTAAACACACACACACGTACACACGCACGCGCATAATCTCTTGAAGCCCTTGTAGCTAATCTAAAACAATACACAGCGTTTTAAAGTATGCTGTTCAGGCGATACAGACAGCTTTCTGAGAGGGACCTACATTGATTTAAGGTGCTGATGTCGCTTTTCTCTGTGATGTGAATCCGAATCAATAAAGGCCCGACTGGGATTGTGTTTCCACCATAGCGTCACATTGCATTCCTGAAAGGAAGACGCTGAAATGTGTCCCCGTGTGTGTGACAGAAAATGTATCCCAAATGATTGAGCTTCTGCGGCTTAAGTCATGTTGAAAATGTACCGAAGCCAATTTGCAAGTTATTAAAACATAATCAGGCCGATCATCTCATAATCATGCCTCGAATTGAAAAAAGTCTCAAGTAAATTTCTTGTCACTTTCTTTTTTAAATGGCTTATCATACTTTAGAAGGAACGTGACATTAAGTTTATTGAATTAATTACATGACCGTAATTTAATAAACTGGAAACAAACCCTCTTAACTCTGTCATTCAAGGGAAATCCCACTCTCAAACAAGCAAGATCATGTTTTGGGTTTTAACAATATCAGTCACCTTTTCAGAAGCAGGTGATTAAGTGGAACGGCCGTGCTGTGATGCGACAACACCCGAGCACGAAGACAGAGAGGCTCATGGGAGCGAGGAGATGAAGTAACACGGAGGGGATTCAGGAAGGGTGGAGAGAGGAGGGGTCTCTCTCCTTCTCCCTCTGCATTGTGACCCCATCGATTACTGTAGACACGCAACATTTGTTATTCGTATCACCACACTTGGCAATGGCATAATTAAGTTAAATTTGTTTAATTTCCCACTGATGTAAGGTCTCACCTTGCCTTCCCTCCATTAAACCTCATTTCTATAAACTCTGCTCTCTATGTCTAGTCTTTGGTAGGACCTCCAGTGCAGGTAAATGGAGGAAATAAATCATCCCTTAATAGGTGCTATTTCGTCCTTAAAGTGCAAATGGCAAAAAGCCCCGTACAGAAATATAATTGTGAAATTGAATGTAGATGAGAGGAGTGAGAGTACTGGCTCACATTCAGCACCGAGGACAGCTCCTACAATTTCTACCAGGCTTTAAAACGTAAAAAATGCTGTTATAACAAATTCCATGAGGGGTTTGAATAAAAAACAAATATTTGTTTCATATGATCTCCTTATTTTCTTTCTTTTTTTGTTGTTTCAACGCCGGCTCGGCGGGACACTTGTCCGATACCGTCGTCTGACCGTTTGAATGATCTCAACGTGGAAACAGGCAGTTGTTTTAATCTCCCCGCAGGGAAGCTGGCGGAGGTCGATTCCACCAAAGTGGTTTGATGGACAGGCCACTTGAAAACCTGATAAGTGAAACTCAAAGTTTTGCTCTTGAAAGCATCCCTGCACAGCGTTAACCTCCCTGCATGACGTGTGGTAGTATCGAAAGATCGTTGACAAGTGTCCCCGTGAAGGGGCCCAGCCAGCGCTACGCAAAGGAAATCAACACCACCCCGCTAGCACAACACTGCAGCGTTTTCACTGCATGACGGATGCATCCGGTCACACGGCCACAGGGAGGCTGCGGGAAGCGGAATCTATCGGACTAAGCAATGTTTTTCCAGCACTCCAATCTGCAACGATGTCGTTCTTTTACCGCAGCGTCACCTGAAATACTTGAAAATAATCATGTCAATCATGTTACATCGGGACTGGTTATGCATTCTTATGCCTAAAGTAATGGATTTCAGCACTGCGTGTGCACATTGCTCTACTAACATGACGGTAGTTTTGGAATTTCATCACTTAATAAAATGTTTATTGCATCGCATACAATTTGTATTTACTTTAAATCAAACAGACACTTGTTGACTAGATTGGCTTACTCAGTCTTAATGATCTCATATGGTTCTCATGGTCAGCAAATTACATTAAACTACCAAAATCCATTAAATTCCAGTCTGTCATTTATACTTTCAGACATTCAACATTTGGTTTCAATTATTATTAATTATTATTAATTCAATTAAAGATGCAAACAGCATTTGTACACCGGTGCCATGTACATTGATGGGTGTTCAACATCACATCACAAATTATAAGCAGACCAAATCCAACTTATTGTGATGAGAACACTGTGACCGGGAGAGATTTGTGGTTTGGGGGCTCTCCCCCAAGAAAGCAAGGAGCGGGGATGGAGGATTCCCATCCGTCATGCTTCACACACACACATAAATCACCCGGTCTCCAAGCCTGCGTTACACACACAGCAATATATACACACAGCATCAAGTTGATCTACGACCCCTTTGCAACGCTTCCCTCGCCTCCCCCCTCCAATTGGTTCTGCAGGTCACATCCTTCCATCAATCTCAATCTGAAAAAGACAAATGCACCGACAATTATTGTTACTATTTTACTTTACTATTTTACTTTGAGGGACTACAGCACCCAGCAGGCAAGTCAACATTACTTTAATTTTGTGTGACAATTCCCGTTTGAAATAACCTGGCCGTCAACTAATGGAAACCAGCGTATAAATCTTTTAAAGTGTGACTCTCAGAGAGAGAGAATCATGCTGCTGGTACAGTGCTGGTATATTTGTAATAGGATGCAGGGCTAATTCTAATTCAAATTTTATGTTGCATTGCACTTGTACGGAAAACGCATCTTTCAATTACATATATTTCAATTTATTCTATTACACAAATTGTCACAATTTTTTTATATCTCTTGCCAATATAGAGAAATATCTCTTCAATGTATAACATCTTTTCCACTTTTCCACTATAATAATAGTAAACAAGTCTTCAGTGGAATGAAGGCTCCTTCACACCTCCATCACCCCAGTGGAACATATTCATTAAGCATACTGTACCTCCTTTGTGAGCCATCTTTATCTTTGTTAATATGACCATTCCTCTCTCATGCCAATTTTTTAGAGAAAATGTTCCACCAATGTGGTTTTGTTGTTCATTGTCATGTGACATCTCTATGCCTTACTCCGCTTGGTAATAGCCTGTGCCTTTGTGTGTCTCCAGTCCAGAAACAGTCTCCAGGTGGGGGATATTGACGGGGCCAAGAGGCTGGGTCGACTGGCTCGTCTGCTCAGCATCTTCTCCATCGTCCTGGGCGTAGTCATCATCGTCGTCTTCGTCTCAGTTTCAGGTGCAGAAATCAACGCCATGGAGGACACGTTTTAAAATACAAGGATAGCTTGTTTTTGTGTTTGTGATCATGACCAAAGGCTTCAGTTACACAGTGCATCGTGCCTAACAGAACACGCGTGTACCTTAAGGTACATCACTTAAAAATCATGTGTGGTATGTGTGCACACGTCCAAGCACAGGGCTTCAGTGTCTATTAACAAAGAATAGGTGATATATGACGCTAACACACAAGCAGCCGATGTGTGCTTTTATACGTCACAACTCAGCACTTTTCCGAGACACGAGTGTGTGAGTGTGTGGATTGATTTAGCACAGTAGCGACCGTAGTGCGCTGACTGCGCAGCAAGGGCGGCTCACCTGCTGCCCGCATCCTTCGACACTTGAGCTGCGCCGGTCAGAGTAACTCATTTGCCGTCTCTGTGTCCGATCGGACTTCCACTGACGATGTCACACTTCTCTCCTTCTTTCTTCTGCAGTGACCCACTGACGTGGAGGAACCGAGGGGAGAAATCAACCGTCAAAGGCAAACCACCAATGCAACAAAGAGGGAAAAGCTCAATTAAAGGAAGTAGAATTTCCAACTTTTCTGCCATATTGTAATTACATCACGACTAACATCAGAAAGCAAAATAAAAAAGGCAACTCATGAGTCGGTACTTTAGCAGGTAATAAACACATGCAGAGAAGAAGATGATGCATGCATTAGAATCCTGTAACATTTGCTTGATAGAAATAATAAAAACCTGATGTAAAATTGGTTCAAGTTAAAACAGAGGAAATGCAGACTTGCGAGTGACAAGGAGGACTCATGAATGTTTATTTTTGGAATAATGAAGCGCTTAAACGAAGAGGATGATCTACGCGTGAAGAGAGAACGAACAACAGACGTTTCTACGTCCTTTAAAAAATGATTCTGAGTTTGGGCGTCAAATACGGGCAGCTGCGTGTAATCCTCTTATATTCCTTACAGAACCCCTTGCATTCAACGTATATACGGCTACAAATACATTTGAAACATGAATATATGAATATACATATATATAGATGTACATTTTATAAATCGTTTGTATGCAAAGTGGTGCTGGGTTTGTTAGGACTGTTATGACGGCTGCTTCGGCAGCACTTACATTGTCACTAGAAATTGAAGGGTTTGTGAAAAGGGGGAGGAAACTTATTTTTTCTTATTTATTTTCATTTTTTTAAACTAAAAACTAATTGAGACCAGCTGCATGCCTGAACGTTGATACCCAACATTCCGCCTTCGTTTTGACTGTTATTAGTTGTCTCTTTTCTTATTAAGGAGTCACAACGGGTTTGCACATGGAAAAGTGATTGTTGTTACACTTTATCGTGGACATTATGTGAGTCCGGCCCCTGTGGAATGTGAGTGGGCCGGGATCTAACCCCCTTCCTATCTCCCGACTCCACTGAACCGTGCCGTGATCTGCCGCAGAATAAAATGCATGCAGAAACTCCCTATTTTTTTCCGTGACATCGTCCAGTTCTTTACACACAAAACAGGATTTAGAGGCGTCTATCCTTCATTTTGTTCCCCTAAACTCCATTTGACAAGTTACCAATACTACCTTTCTACAACACGGCTCCCCATTTTCCATTGTCATTCTTACATTGTTAAACATTAACTGATAGTCTCCACTGTTTCACTCCCACTCCTTGTATTAGTATGAAATGTATTTATATAGGAATATATATGCAACATGTACGCATGCTGTGGGCCAAATCGGGCCGACACACATTTATTTTTTGTAAGTGAACAGGTCCGAGTTGGACCGATTTACAACAAATAGCATTTAAAGAACAGTTCTCTGAAATTCAAGCACGACAGGTTGTCTGTATTCTTCACTTTATCAGAGAGAATTCACTGTATTTAGTCCCCTGTGGCTACATAGGGCTGTTGTATTGACACATTACTGGCTTATGCTACAAGCACAGGTAACGTAACCATGTAGACATATTTAAATCAGCTTTCTTTTTTGGCATTAATGCATTTTTTTCCCTCTCAATCTCATGCTATTTGAATCAGGATAAAACAATACGTTTAAGGGCTTAAAATGAAACTAAAGGAACACCAACTAATTTTCCCCCAATGAGTGATAAAATGTATCCACCCACCGAGAAATTCCACCAAGTCCTGAACTGAACATCAATGTCAAACTGTGTTTGTAATGATCAATGTTTTGTGTGAAACAGACGTTTCTCAATTCCATGGAAACACAAAGTTGTACATACAAATCCTACTTTTTGAAAGCAGCAAAATCCAAAGAATCCCCGCGTTTACTACCAATGTAAATCGGTGTGTCCTTTCTGTAGATCACATTGAGTGTAGTTTGCTGCTCTCATATACAAACATGCCACAGCTGAACGTGGTCTGGAGCAGCTTTCTAACTGTAGTCTATAAGCTCTGCTTAGTAAAACAGTCCAAACCTCCATTCCAATCTGATCAATGACGGTTTCTTTTCCGATATACTGTATGTGCCAGTTTTCATCTCTGTGGTGTACATTGTGCATGTCCGGAATAAACGTTACCACGCATGGTCCAAGTTTCTTGCCTTTTGATCTCCCCGTTTATAAAGTGACGACAGGCTCAAATGAGTTAATACCAGGAACTTAGCGCCATGCAGCTGCTTTGTCGAGCCGTACTTCAGTAGAATGTATGCTGACGTCACACGGAAAACATTTTTTAGCAGGTACAATGTTTACCATGTTCACCATCTCACTATAGCTATAGCATGCTATCACTGATGACAGCTCAATACAAAGTGACCAGTAAAAGTGATGAACGCCGAGAAGAGGTTGAAACATAAAAACACAGAGCCAAAATGTCTTTTACCTCACACTGAGCGAGGGTTGGCAAAATGAAATTGTAGAGACAATCCTAGAGCTTGATTAGACCCTGCAATGCTGTTGTATTGGATTGCACAGCTGTTGCATTTGATACCTCTTAGCCATGTTCACACAGCAGGACCAGGTAGAAAAGTGCCTCAGTGCACACAAACGTCATTCATCACGGCTGCCACTGTGGGTCCTGAAAGGCTGTAGAATACCTGGCAACCCACAGGCATAGAAGCCAGAGGCCTTTTCTGGGGTTCAGATACATAAAGGGAATTCTTTAATTTGCAAAAAATAAAGAAAGTAAAACTAGACCAATGCCTATCTTGAACTTTTAATCCATTGATACACATCTGTAGATGTAGAAGAAAAGTGATGAAGGCCTCACTGAGCATCACAGGTTTGTTTTAGCCCTCCCCAAAACCCCTAAAACGTCTCTAAAGAGCTGAAGTAGAAGACTGCAGTCCGCTCTTCTGATTCAGCTCTTGTTGTTAAACGGACTTTGTGCTCGACAGAAGTTAGTGTAGAGCGACCCGGGTTAGTGAGAGGATCTGGCGCTTAGTTCTGCTCGGGTGACGCTCGGTTTTGAGTGGCTGACATTTTGGGAGCTCCGTGCATCAGAACTGCTGCAGTCTGCAGACAGCGTGTGCGCTTGTCTGGACCAGATTCCGTCCTAAAGGGAGGGAGATATATGCTTGTTTGGCTGTACGGTGGCTTTCTCTGTGATGAAAGCATTGAACAGTGTGTGGGTGTGTGTGTCTGTTAAAATGAGCCTAAAGCTGCGGGACCCAAACACATGGATGTTTCTCACGGAGCTGCCTGGCTTTTAAATTGCTAGACCCCCACCGACAGAGAAAGACTTTGATCCAGTGGGTGAAACCCAGTCGATACCTCAGCTGAATGCTTTAGTCCTCACCTTCAAACGCGTCACTTTGGGTTTCAACTGGGGGGAAATGAAGGAGGGGCTCAGTCAGGCACCTAATGCAGGCAGAATAGTCGTCTCCTTCAACGGCCCCCCTCACCAAAGCAGCATTTGAATCAGTCTCTATATAATCCTAGACATGGTGCACTATTGGAGTGGGGAGTTGGCTTCTGGTCTGTAATCGCTCTGAGATTAATGCACTTTAGTTATAGCAAAAAAAGGTTTGCTGCTACATTAAGACTTTAAACATGATACGGAGAACCTTTAACAAATCATCCCCAAACAAAATGATTGCAGATAATTTGTGAATTTTTCCCATAATGGTAAATTCAGCTTCAGAAGGAAAATCATTGACTGCTAACTGACTTGGTGGCAAAGGAAGGTCTAAACTTGACCAGGGTCCTCATGTCTCCTTCTCACCCACAGAGCAAAGCCAAATGAATGTTGTCAAAGTAACGTGTTTGTGAGTTCATTAAGATAAATAAAATGCACAAAATCTAGTAGTGTTGCAGACGTCTTTGCACATATTGAAATTAATAATTTATTGATTCACATTATACAGTGCACAATGTGCTAACCACCCCACTTCATTAATTAAAAAGGACCTTTCAACTAAAATAATGATGCATCCAAGGTTCTCCATCGCTCACCAATATCATTGATTAAAATGTTGTCATATTTTTACTTTTGGTCTTCATTCACTTGTTGGCAGCACTCCATCTGTCCCACTGCTAAATACAAGTTCAGTAGTTCAAGTCGGCCAGATCTGTTCCCGTCCAAGAACTGGACCAATGTCTTTCTGTTCGGGTAGGGGGGGGGGGGGGGGGGGGGCCTCCAATTTAGCTCCGTCTCTCCTGTGAGTCCCACGTTACAAGAGAGCAGAGCAGTCGTGCTCATTTGAAGGTTCCACCCGGTCCGGCTTTCAGTGGAGAGCGTAGAGCAGCAGGAGAATGGTGCAGACGCCGATCACCGTGCCCAGGATCAGGGAGTCCCTTCTCTTCCGCAGGTTGATCCGTTGGATGAGATTGTTGATGGTTGGGAAACGGTGTGGAGGAAAGTTAAGGAAGAAAATACGGAGGATTACATTTGTTGGCAGGAGAGCATCAAATACGGTCCGTGCCATGCAAAGATCTACGCAAGTGCAAAATACCGAAGGTCTCAGGAACAATAAAAAAAAGAGGGAATGCAATTGGCCTTGAGAGGCAATTACTAATAATCAAGACAGGGATGGCTGTTAATTAGTAATAACTTGAATCAGAGTGATGATACAAGCAGAAACTCCCCTTTTCACCTGCTGTAGCACCCAAACAATTAAAACTTTCTTATGCCTGTAGAAAAATCAAAGCATGATTTGGGTGAATGGCTCAGGCACCAGCTGGTACATCGCGATAAGTTATCACAGATAATGTGTTCACAGAAAAGCAATATGTGAGCATTGATCCCTCAACAACCAGTAGTGAATCCTTTTAAACTTCACATCTACTGTGTGTTGTCTTCGATTCCGTTGTCACACACACACACACACACACACACACACACACACGCAGCATAAAGGATATTGGCCAATGTGTTGACCCTGCCCTGTATGGATTTCAAGAAGCCCCGTTGGGACGTCATGTTCTCCTTGGTTGCCATGGCGATACTAACAAGATGAGAGAGAAAAGTGGATTTAGAAGTGACAATCTGTGGCTTTTGGTTGCAATCACTAATACTGTAGGGCCTTTGAATGCTAAAGAGGGCACACGTGATTCTTTCAGGAAGCCGATCAAACACAAATGTGAGGCGTCCGATCCGGATTTTGAATTAAAACTCTATTTAGTATGGGAGCAAAGCAATTGGACATGCCACTCAGAATGTCAGAATGCCAAGTGGGGAGCAGACTTATATGCAATCGACGCGACTGTGACGCTTGATATCCTCCTGTATAATGAATGAAAATGGGTATTTAACGACTACAAGACTGTCGGCACAGCCAAGTTACAAGGACAGTCATTATCCCAGGCCCCTTGAGTGTGTGTGTGCGAGCTGCCTCGGCTTGTAAACGGGAGGGATGGAATTGGTGTGAAATTTCCCTCAAACTTTGGGCATCAGCAACTTTTAGTTTGTGCAGTTGGGCAGTTCAGTTGGCTTCAGGCCCTTTGTTTGGCCTCTATGGCGTCTGTTACGGACAAGAATCAATAGCAGGCAGCTACTGAGCCCGTGTTTGAGTAAAAAAAATAAACCCACACACTTAAAGCTTCTGACAAAGACAACATAATGACTTGAGTATTAACACTCAGGAGACAGGAGGTATAACGATGTTACTCTTGAAGAGCAGGCTGACAATCTGCAGTAAAACCTGTGAGTGTGTGTGTGTGTGTGTGTAGTCTTGGCCTGGGAGCTGTGTTTTTAGGGATCATGTTCTCCGCGGTCAGGAAGAAACACTTTGCTGATTCCAGCAACCTTGACAAGCCTCTTTCTCAATGTGAAGCAGCTCACGAGCATCTGGCTGAGGATTCCCATCACACACACCAGGGGAGTGGTCCCAAGTTGTCGGGTGTGGGGGGGGGGGTTAGGAAGGAGTGAGGGAAGGTAAAACCTAAGTGACATATTTGTCTTTTGTGCAGGTCCGCAGTACGGGAAAGGAGAGACCGGTGAGAAATGGATGGTTTCTATAAATCAGTGAAGCGGGAGGACTTATTCTTGGCAGGCGTCGCCCCCCCCCCTCGTTCATGTCATGCACACACAATATTATGTGAGCAGTTGCCGTACTTCAAGGCTTTGACGTGATTGAAACTCCCACTGAAAGGCTCATTGAAAAAAAACAAAAAAATGAAATCAAATGGTCCAAAACAATACACATAAAAGCTTTGGGTGCTCTCGACCTGTAGTCAGCAATAAACTATTCACTTTGGAACAAGTGTCAATGTTAAGGTGTATATTGTAACAATAATGTAAAACACTTTGAACCTGCAACTCTAATCATACAACTGTTTGACAGTTTCCTCTTTAGATAAAAAGCCTGATATGTCTAAAGGGAACTGCTCACGTTATGTCTGCTTATGACTTAATAAAAAGGAGTACGACTTAATATATTCAGGTCCGACAGTTAATCCTGTTCTTTTAAAATTTCAGTTCAAACATTTGGTTAGGATGAAAATCTGATTTTTGGGGAGTATCAATACATTTCCTCACTCGGGGTTTGCAATCCTGCCCTTGTGACAACGGAAGGACGGCACAGACATCGAAGAAGTCCACGGTGTGGCTTCCCATAGCCAGGCCTCGTGCAACTATATGACCTCTCAAACGTGGAGGACAGAATGTAGGTCTTACCTTATCGTGTCGTCCATCAGTCGGTCCGAACTATAGACAAAGAGTAGGAGAGGGGAGGGAAAGATTAAGTCACTGATTAGTCATTCAATTAAGCCGGGACAGTTAACCTGATCAGTTTCAGATCGACTGCAATAGTCAATTCTAATCATGTGACTTGGACAGTTTATTTGTATGCCGTCTGTGACTGGATTTTGTTTCCTTGAATCAATCAATATATATCAATCAAAAAAAAACATTTTATATATTTCCACTGATGGTCGGGTCTTTTGCACTCAACACTCGTGTCCGATGTTTGCTTTGTCTCCTCCAAACCTGCTCACACACCCACTTCACGTATACAACCGCCGTAATCCGTTTTGAGTCTATGGCTGCTTATAAAAAAATAGTGCCGTTGGCAATTTATTCCTTAATAGGATTCAAGTTGGATAATGTTTCACAGAACTAGAGGGAAACGAAACAAAAGAAAACTGCAGGGACTGT